GAATGCAGATGTCTCGCTCTTCCATTTCCTTCTCAAACTTTTCAATCCCCGGGCGTCCATAGTCGTCATCTGAGGCCACAGCAATAACCCAGTTCCACTGGAAGTACTCAATGATGTCTGCCATGGCTGTGGCCTGGTACTCATCTGTAGGAATGGTTCTCATGAAGGACTTATACTGATTCTTGTTGCTCAGTAAGCGACTAGAGGAGGCGTAGCTGATCTGAAACAGTAAAGATTACAGGTTATCTAACGGGTTTTCATTGTGCGCTGCTTATTGCTGTTAATTATTACATTCAATATTAAGCTTTGGTCATTTTGTTGATAACACACATCATCCAGGAGGACATTTGTTTTCTTGTAAGAAGTATTATTCACAGACAATTAATGTGGACATTAAATACAGTACAGTACTGCCATGTGACATTTGTACGGTGGCCCTGAGGTGCAAATCACAACAGCAAATCAGAAAACACAACACAAAAAGAGAAAACACAACGGCAAATCAGAAAACACATAGATATGGACTATTGGAACCCCTGTTTCTACCTCTCTTAGGTATCCCTAATTAACATGGACGTATTAATACAATATTTTCCTTATTTAGTGGTTTGAATTTTCAGATTTGGCAACTTGAACGCATAGGTTTGGCGGTGTTGTGTTTCCGGTTCAAAGGACGGACCAGTTCTTTTGTCCAATCAGCGACGACTCATGACGCCCGAGGGTACCTACCTTTTCCAGTTTGGTTAATGTCGTTGTGTTTTCTGATTTGCTGTTGTGTTTTCTCTTTTTGTGTTGTGTTTTCTCTTTTTGTGTTGTGTTTTCTCTTTTTGTGTTGTGTTTTCTGATTTGCCGTTGTGATTTGCACCTCAGGGCCACCGTAGGATTTGGTCAGTTTTAAGGCAACAACTGCAGTGCAGTATTGATGTGGTGCTGATGTTACTCACTTGAGGAATATAAAAAAGACCCAGTAGGTTTGCAACTGCTGTGGAGACTGCAGATCCAGCTGCTCCTACTACTGCAATGGTTGCTGGGATGTGATCAGTGCAGTTACAGAATTCATCTAAATTCAGGGAGTCAATCTTATTTTGGGCCACAAAACTAAGCGTCGCTTCCAGGGCTTTTGACACCGTGTTGCATGTGTCAAAGATCCTGTAGCCCAGAGTGATATTGGGCAGGAGAGTGCTGCTGTTGTTTATCTCATCAATTGCAAAAATCATTGCCTGGAGCCAACGGAAGCCACGGAAATTGAACCTGTAGAAGCAAACCAGTTGTAAAGCAGTTTAGAGGGGTTTAGTCCTCTCATTCAGTCGAATCATTCATGGATGCCTACACATGTCTTAAATTTTACCTGACACACTGTGTGGATTCTGGCCGGGCTGCGAGGTCTTGGTCTTTTGATGCAACACCAAAGTGTATGGGGAAAAGACCTCCAAGCAAAATATCACCAGTCATCTGCGCTCTCTGATGGGGCCCATATGTTGAAATCACATAACTGGACCCCAACAGTATCAGATAATACAGAACCAGTCTCATCTTGCCTTTCTTTAATGGGAAGAATTATTTTATACAACTCCCCAGAGTGAAGGTACTCTCAATATTATCTTCTCCCATCAATCTGCGTGCTGCGCTGTCTTGTATTATTCATGTTTGCATTGGTGAGAATGACTGTTGGACAAAGGGGGAAAAAGCACTTTGTGTAAGAGTAGTACAATGGCCTGCTATCACATCAGATATTTAATATAATTTTCTCTTTAATATAAATTCCACAAGATGTAAACATAACTCAGCAGCAGTGTGCGATACATCCCATAAACTCCAATCACTGAGCCTGGAGAACTTTCCCATATAAACAGGAACAGGGGGCGAGAACGATGTTAGAGGCCAACCTGACCTGAGGCTATTATTACCTTACTCTCCCAGGATTACACAGTTGCATAAGTTAAGAGCTCGGATTTTTTTAATGAGTTGACTTCTCTTGTAATGTTTTCTGAGAAGAAATTACTTTTAACATTTCACACCTCAATAACATTGTGGTCCCGGCGCTTGTAATATCCATCTGAACTGAAATAGACGCAGGATTTACATGAGCTGAGAGTGAAGTCACACTCTAATGACCCTCCTTCCTGCAAATGCTCGGCCTCATGCTGTGGCCAGTGAACCCAGTCACCATGGAGAGAAGCCTACTGCATCTGGCTAATACTGCTGGAAAAATGCTGGGGCAGAGCTGTGATAATGAAGTAACTAACAGCTGTAAGAGCCACTGTTTGCCATATTAACCAATACTGAGAGAGGTTATATGTATAGCCACATAAAATATATTTTCATTTCTTATTGCCATTATTTTGGATGAAAAGCCTATTTTGAATTTAAATATTAATTTACAAGTGAAGTGTTGAAAAATATAATCATATTGTTATCCAGTGTCCAATAATAGCATCCAATACCCTCAAGTCTTCTTTTTGTAAATAACAATTAAAAAAACTAAATTACATTTCATGCGATTCCCACCTGTTCTAAATTGATTTTAAAAAATAGATTAAAAACAAATTATATTTCCTAGCAATGTAATTGACCATAATATTATCATTTGTTTTAACTGACTGATTGCTGTAATCAAAAGTTAAGATGACTGTGGCTGAAAATAACTGTTCTTCTTTTTAACTCCCAATATAAAAAATGGAAACATCCAACATGGAAAATAACAGAATGAAACTTACCGCCTGAACTCCTGATATAAATACGCTCGAAACAGTTAATCTGTAGGTATACACAGTTTTTAAGGCCTTTTCCCAAAATATCCAGGGGGCTGAATGAATTCACTGGACGATGGTGTTAGCTTCTGAACCTCTTTCTGCAGATGAATCATTAACAAAGAGAGGGGTTGTCCATTTCCTTCAGCTAATGAAGTCTACTCACAGTTCACTCCTCCTGAACTAAAGTGGCAGAGAAAGAGCTGGGAAGGATATTTTAATTAGTACCTATCTACCATTACCACAGCATGACAGGGAAGACAATGCAAACGCTACTTTCAGTGAAAATATGAGATAAAGGAGGCAGGTTGTAAAGGTTATCTTTGTCTACAGCCTTCATTAATGTGTGTATTACAAGTTACCTGGATGTAACTGGATGTTTGTGTCTGTATTACTACACTACTACTACTTATCGATGAATAACTCAAATGTAAACATATTTCTCTCTCTACTCTTGAAACCTACTAATTAAAATGTGATCCTCATATCTGCTGCCTGTGTCTGCATGTTTTCCAGTCAGGTTTCATCTTTTATTGGATTTTGCCAGAAGAGCTGCAGCATGATACCAGGAACCCCTAGAAGCAATGGATTGCACCATTATGTACCTCAAACCAATTAGTTGTCTCCTTATGCTCTGATGACTGAGTCTTCAATTTGTTGCTGAGCAGATGTTTCCAGTGAAAACAATTTCAGTTTACAACATGTTGACTTATCTGTGACCCGACCCAACGCTGTGTCCATGAGACATGAGGCACATGGGAGACCCTGAAAGGTTAAAAATAAAGAGCCTGCACTCTAAATGTATTTCATTATTTCTAACTTCTTAACCGCTGGAAGTGGTCTCCATTTCCATCAGTAAAAGAGTTTCATTAAAGGCTCTATAAGGAACTTGTATTGTCTGTTTTGTCTGATTTATGGGAATCCAACCTGAAGAATAACTGCGTAGAAAAAGACGGTCTTTTCGCTTATGGTCATGATCATTTTTATGAAGGTCATAGAGACTTCAGTATTAAATTAGGACAGTTTCACAAAACTCCTTGTAGGGGCTTTAAATAAAGAAAATTACAAACAGACCTCAATATGTTATGATTTGTTTTATTAAATGTATGTGAGAGGAATTCCCCTTCTTTGTAAATTTGCTATAATCCAAACTGAAACAAATCATTTCAAAGATAACATTTTATAAGATAACAAAATATTTTTTTTTACTCCAAAAAACATCACAAGTACTAGTTAGACAAGATGATATAGACCTAAAAGCCAAAAATGGAAGCATACCAGAAATCATCAGCTTTGTTAAACACAGTCACACACACTGAAGCATTCAGCTACACTGTTTTCACTCAGAGCTGATTTTTTAAAGCACAGAATAGAATAAAATAAAAATAAAAGTTAACTGAAAATGTCCAAATCATTCAGTCTTTGAGTTGAAATTATAAACTATAATGAGTTAGTAAACATGTTTTTACATTTAGCACATAACCCACATTTTATGACATTCCTGCACCACATTTTCTTTGTGTATCATTTTAATTAGTTCAACTGATAAAAGCAAAGTGACAACGTCATATTATACAGTTCTCAATGTGTTGTGAGTATTTAAATGAAATAAAAGGGAATTTTGTTGGGATGGTAAGATGTTTTCTTTTAAAGAGTAGGAGAGTTTGTTTATTTCATTCATTCTGAAAATTCATACAGACGTCATCTGTCAGAGAGGACCAACAATTTCATGATGTTTTACGTTGGTGAGGCATGAAAGCAAAATTTGGTGTAAAAAGACCTTCATCATCTACAAACACATATGAAAAAACATCTTTGTAAAATGTATGTAATTGTTTGACAAGCCTGACGTGTCCTGAAATAAATCATCCAGTTCCTGTCTATTTCAGAAATGGCACATACGTCTGAAATGTAACATAATGTGTCAAAAATGTTGAGCTGTGAAGAGTTCACAGCGAATGGATTTATCCTCACAAATAGTGTGGTCTGGTACAGATCAAAACACAGTCACACACACTGCAGCATTCAGCTGAAAAGGTAAGGAAGCCTCTTTTATAATAATGAGTGTATGTGCGAGATCTCAGTTCGTTAGTTAGTAAATTACTGCATAATTTTAAAATAAAATGTTATTACATGACTATTTATTTAATCAGCAATGAATCATTGATACGTCATCTACACAGTAAAATAATAAATGTACAGTAATAAAGCCTACCTACCAACTTTTATTTCTTCCTGTTTCATAAACACAGGCCCACTGATGACATATGACCATCAATAATCACTGAGTAATACTTGATACTTATTTTCAACTGTTTTTTTTATCTTTACAGTGTAAGTAAATAAATACAATGTATAAGAAGTGTGTGTGTGTGTGTGTGTGTGTGTGTGTGTGTGTGTGTGTGTGTGTGTGTGTGTGTGTGTGTGTGTGTGCTTATTGAATGTGATGTACAAGATGTTCATTTCTTCTGCTTGGCTGAAGATTGCCTGTGTTACACCAATTTTACACCGACAGTAAAATTACATGGTGGTGTTGTGAAAATGTGATTACTTTTACCTGTGTGTCTCTTACACTTTTGACACTTTCACACAGTTTCAAACTATTGCTGCATTTGTTTACATCAATAGCTCAACTTGGACTTGAGATTTCTGCAAAGCTATTGTGATAAAATGGACTGTAATGAGACAAATGCTGCAGATTAGGATCATATTTAATTTATACATGAGTTTATTTGTGTAACATTTTTTGAATGGGAGCATTTGATTTGGAAATGTATTTCAATTTTTTAGAAAAAATGGCCCTTTGGCCAAATAACAGTGGTACTTTTAGCATTATGTATACTAAATGTTTATTAATTTTTATGTTAATTTGTCTTGAGCAATCAATGAACAACACATGTCTTGATTAATAGGATGTCTGGTGCAAAGATCCTGCTGTTCCTGCAGAGCCTGTCCCGTAGGAAACCTCTGGAGCCCGAAGGAGAGGAATCCAACTTTCGCCGATGCCTGACCACCCTCGACCTGGTGGCTCTGGGGGTCGGCAGCACACTGGGGGCCGGTGTGTACGTACTGTCGGGAGAAGTGGCCAGAACTGTGGCCGGGCCGAGTATCATAATTGCCTTCCTGATAGCAGCAGTGGCCTCAATCTTTGCTGGACTTTGCTATGCTGAATTTGGAGCTCGGGTTCCCAAGACTGGCTCTGCTTATCTCTACAGCTATGTGACTGTGGGAGAGATATGGGCTTTTATCACCGGCTGGAACTTGTTGCTGTCTTATGTCATAGGTAAAGATAGTGCCACTCTGAATACATTACTCGATGTGGTGGGTGTTTGATTAAGCATGGAAAAAATCTGTCCTCGTAAACATTATCATAATATTGTTTCAAATGAGGCTCAAATATAAATAGGTTGGTTTCTCATTGTATTCTGTTTTTAAGGGACGTCAAGTGTTGCCAGAGCATGGAGTGGGACCTTCGATGATCTCATTGGAAATGTCATTGCCAACTCTCTGGGAAAACAGGCTGCAATGGATTTACCTGGATTAGCTCCCTACCCAGATTTTTTTGCAGCTGGCCTCATAATGCTCTTGGCAGGCAAGTTTCCTTATCTAAACCCCTGTGACCTCTTACCAAATGTAAGAATTTATTATTATAATTTATGAAAAAAAAAAAGAATAGTTAATCACAATGTAAATCAACATTTTACAAGGTTGCACTGTATTCAATGTCACGATCAACTTTATATTTTCTGTGTTTCCTTTCTAGGGATTCTTGCATTTGGTGTTAAAGAGTCAGCTATTGTGAACAAGGTTTTTACAGCAGTTAACATCCTGGTGTTGCTGTTTGTTATCCTTGCCGGAGTCATCAAGGGGGACATCGACAACTGGTACATTAGTGAAGATTCTCTCCTAGATGGATATGAGTATGGGTTCCTCTTTACGTATATATGTACCATTAGGAAAAAATAACAGTTTTAGGCTTTTACTGTTAATAATATGGATAAATAATTAACCTTTCTAGTTAAATAAATGTTTGAAATATGTATTTATCAATCAGTTTGTCAACCAAGCATCAACATGTCTGTTCTTTCTAGAAACCACACATCACTGAATGAAACCACTGGATTTGGCAGTGGAGGATTTTTCCCTTTTGGCTTTGAGGGAACATTAGCAGGAGCAGCCACTTGCTTTTATGCATTTGTTGGATTTGACTGCATTGCAACAACAGGTAAATTAATTTACAGAGACATAGTAGATCACACAATGACTTACTATAAAATTAAATTATTATTATTTTTCTTTAGGAGAAGAGGTTCAAAACCCTCAGAAGTCGATCCCACTTGGAATTGTGGCGTCCCTCCTCATCTGCTTCCTGGCTTATTTTGGTGTGTCTGCTGCTCTGACTCTTATGATGCCGTACTTTTTGCTCAGTGTTCACAGCCCATTGCCTGTGGCCTTTACATACATCGGTTGGGGCCCTGCAAAGTATGTAGTGGCTGTGGGATCCCTCTGTGCACTGTCAACAAGGTATGAAACACAGTGTCCCATTTACAACCTCAGCTCTGTAAATCAAAGCAAAATTTGTTTGTTTTTTTGTTTTAATTTGTCTTAATTTTATGTTCAGCTTCCAGGATAGTTCATTAGTATTTTATTCTCATTGTAGAGCACATTGCTGTAAATGAATACCATCTGAATCACAGTTACAAATTAAAACAGAAGCAAATGACATGAAGAACTACATGGTTATTTGAGCTTTGTCTCACAGCCTTTTAGGATCAATGTTCCCGATGCCCCGTGTTCTCTTTGCCATGGCAAGGGATGGACTTCTCTTCAGACCTCTCAGTAGAATGAGTGATAGACAAAGTCCTGTCATCGCGACCCTGGCTTCAGGGGTTGTAGCAGGTAAACCTGTCAGTACAAGTCATAACAATGTTTTTGTGGAAGTTTTAGTTTCTATTTTGGTTTGGTATGATTCTTGTGCTCACTGTTTTTTGTAACTGTATAGCACAGAGCACATGTCAACTGATGTGTAAGCTCATGAGTACAGGCACTCAAACCATCTCAAACTGTAGACCTTTGGTCTTATCTAGTATAGTCTAATAAACTAAAAAGTATTCACAAAAAATGTAGGCTTATATCACCACCTCTCTGTTACATGAATTGAAGGTATTAAATCTGAACTATTACAAATCATAGCCCAACACCTGGAAGAAGTTAAAGTTGAAATATGATCTATAGAAATAAATGTAAAAGAAAATTATTTAAGTTTATGTAAATTCTTCTTCTTCTTTTGTTATTGTTATTATTATTATTATTTGTTGTTGTTGTTGTTGTTGTTGTTATAATTATTCATGTCTTTTCAGCCATCATGGCGTTGTTGTTTGACCTGAAGGCATTGGTTGACATGATGTCAATTGGAACCCTCTTTGCTTACACACTTGTTGCCATATGTATCCTCATATTAAGGTATGATATGCCTGGTATTATTACTCTAATCTTAATAGTTACTTTGTTTGTTTGTGAAAAAGCTCATGTTCATGAGCGGTGTGTATAACTTGGCAGGGCTATATAGCACCTTATGTGCCTGTTGACTGTGTTTCAGTACTGCAGTGGTGGAAAGTAGTTTGTACATTTACTCAAGTACTCGACTTAAAATTCAAGGCACTTTGACTTTACCTGAGTATTTCCATTTTATGCCGTTTCATACTTCTACTACCCTTTCAGAAGCAAATATTATAGTTTTTACTCTACTGCATTTAGATGCAGCACTAGATAGTATCTAGTGAGCACTAGATACTGATCCAGTGTTGTGGCGAATCAACACATGGCTCAGTTGAATATTAAAATTAGCCATATGTTGATAGGTCACAACATGAAAATGTAACCAATGAAATTACTTATTTTGACACACATTTTAAGCCAATAAGTATTAAACTAACAAGGTAATGTGTCAAAAGGCGGACTGTTTTTGTTATTTTCTCAAAAGGAGGACAAATGAGTGTCCAGCTGCAGGACAGGGCATTTAAATGCGGACTGTAACAAAAGAGGTTACAGATTAATTTACATTTATTTTTTAGTTACAGACAAATTAGTTTAATACTCATTTGAATATTAAAATTAGCCATGTGTGGATTCGCCACAACACAGATCCTATCTAGTGCTCACTAGATAGTATCTAGTGCACACAAGATAGTATCTAGTGCGCAATAGATAGTATCTAGTGCGCACTAGATAGTACAAGATAGTATCTAGTGCGCACAAGATAGTATCTAGTGCTCACTAGATAGGGATCTAGAGCTCACAAGATAGTATCTAGTGCGCACTAGATAGTACAAGATAGTATCTAGTGCGCACTAGATAGTACAAGATAGTATCTAGTGCTCACTAGATAGGGATCTAGAGCTCACAAGATAGTATCTAGTGCTCACAAGATAGTATCTAGTGCGCACTAGAAACGTTTCATTTTTTTTTTTTCCCATGTCCCTTTATGGGCTCCGTAAGTTACTTTTAAAATGTTGAGAAGTTTTCATACATCCAGTGAAAAGTGATTGATAACTTATATTCTCATAACCAACCATATAAAAAGAGTGATTGATAATACTAACTGGCCAACTAATAATAAGCAGTTTGACAGATTTATCAACCCTGGATTTTGATATGACCAAGAAATGCCTGCAATAAGAGGAGATTAATAGAATTGGCATTTTCTGGGTGATATTGTCAATATGTATTGATTATGAGCTAAAAGTACACTTTAATCAACTGTCATAACTGCAGGCAGATACTGTTTCTACATTAAGAATGCATTTTTATTCCATTTAATACCTTCAGTGGTTGATCATTATAAATAAGATTAAATAAGATAATTGAATATAATTTGTTAGTTTAGGTCACAGCTACATCAATACATAAAAAATGTCATGTTATGTTAACCCAATGTTTAACTGCATTCATTTATATTTCCTCACTTTGACAGGTACCAGGTAGGGCTCAATGAGGATTCAAGTTTCAGCAAACCAGACCCTTTTACAATTACTGCAGTATTATATCCTCCTCCACAGGCCACCACACGGACATCAAAAAATGTGTCTGTTTTAACTATTTTTATTAGTAAGTGATCTCCTTAACATCATCCTTAAATATTATCCTGCTTATAGATGAGTTCCATTGTTAATAATCATGGATCATTGTTCTCCCCAGTCTTTTTAGCTGTCATCCTAAGCCTCGTCATATCTGGAGCTCTAGACTCCCTGCAGACACTGGAGTGGTGGAGTTTACTTTGTGTCATTGTGATCGTGCTGATGTTGGTCCTCATTACGCTGATCATCTGGAGACAACCGCAGAACACAACCAGAGCTGCATTCATGGTATGCCTCATTTGGGTTTTCTGGGAGCACATGCAGTGGTATAGTTTAATCTTTATTTCAGCCAGTGAAGCATCATTACTGAAATTATAAACTTTGATAACTAAGTGTAGGAAATCACTCCTGACAGGAAAAATAGCCACCCAGTAATATTTAATTAGAAAAAGTCCTAAACAGCATTTTGTTCCTTTGCTTTGTCATAATGTTCTGCTTTTTCATGTGTACAGGTTCCTTTTGTTCCACTGCTTCCTATTTTCAGTACCTTTGTCAATGTCTATCTAATGGTTCAACTTGGATCAGACACGTGGATCCGCTATGCAGTGTGGATGGCAGTAGGTATGTCAGAAATGTCACTTTAAAATACACATTTTCATTTACAAAATATGCAAAAAATATCAAATAAACCAACATGACCATATGAGATGTAACTTTTCTTTACACAGGTTTAATTATCTACTTTTGTTACGGTGTCCAGCACAGTGTGCAGAAAAAACGGCTTCAAATTTCACACAACCAAGTCAGCATTCACAGCATCACCACCACTGTGGAGCAAAACTTTGAACCTAGACAAGATTTTAATGGGTAAATGATGTAACATGACAAAACGCTTTCATTATAATAAAAGGTTGGCCAGTGTGCATGAATTCATACATCTAAAAAAATGTATTTAAATCACAACCTCTGACCTCTATTTTCTTTTTTCTTTTCTGGGAAATTAAATATTTTGTATATTATACTTTTACAAAACATATATTTTTCATTATTTAGATTTGAACAGATTAAAAATCACATGTATTATTTAAATTACCTTGACATTATCTCTGCATGAGGCGTTATGCAGTATTGTGTTTTTATTTTACTGTTTCACAGAGACATCACAGGTTAGGGTTTGGACGATTTTACAAAAAATAAGAGCCATGTTAGAGCCACAATTCAAATACCTCTTTTATAGTCAAAAGACAACATTGAGCTTATATGAGTAAATACTGTAAAATAAATACAGTTATTGTGATGTGTTTTTTGTAATCAATGTTCACATACAGTTGGGTAAATTATATCATCCAAAACTTTATTTATGTAGCACTTCATTCCAGGTGGAAGCACAATGTATTATATGTTTCCTGCATTTCCTTTATAGGTGCATTTTCACATTTTCTTATATAATGTATTTTAGCCTTTTGCTAACAGGGATTTCTTTTGTTGAGCTTCTCTACTGGTTGTTCACCGTACCCAACTCCCAGTGTGTTTAATGTATTTCTATCGCTTTCTATTGTCATGTTTTTTGTGATATGCACGTTAAATAAACATGGCATTAGATTTCTGGAAAAACAAGTCTCCCTTTCTACTTTCCATTCAAACTATAACTTTCTGCTTTCACTGTCATTTAGACGACCACATTGTTTGGATTATAAATGCCACATTTATTTACAACACGTGATAGGAACTCATGAAGGCTGTCTTTGTTTACGGAAGCACAGTTTAAATAACGCACCATGTCAAACCCCATGCTAGCCAATCAGAAGGCAGACAGCGGGGAGCTTTTTTTTTTCTTATAAAATAAACAAATATGTATAAAACACTATGAAGAAGTTGTGTTAAAAATGATTCATTAGATTTTAGGACAAACCTTTAAAAACAAGAGACACATCAGCTCTTCAGCGCTAATTAGATAATCTGAGAGCCAAAATGGCGACACCTGCTGGTCAAACCTGGGTTTTACTGGCGCACAACGTCACCAGCTCTAGCCAATCAGGGAGCCGCTCTGCAGGAGAAGCGCATTGTTCAAAAACCGAAACGGGTAAAGTGATTGAGCCGGGTGAGCTCGGGTAGTGTCTCAGGTAGCTCCAGTCGATACAGTCGATACAGTTTTAATCCACCATCTCCGGTTTGAGTCAACTAACGTTACTTCAGTTTTGGCGATTTATTCATAACGTAAGGACGTTTAGTTACTGGAAACGAGGCGCATTTCCGAGGTAAGTTAACGTTTGCTTTAAGTCGGCTCGGCAACAATAAACCTGTTAGTCTCGATACAGCTGTGATTATAATATATAACGTTAATAAAATAAAGTTTATAACCAGCTAACAGAAAGCAACGACGTCGTGATTCTTGAGTTAATTTGGTGGAAGAGACCTCACGATTTAAAAAAACTTTAAAACGGGTATTAACGTACACTCTCTCGTGCACGTTCAGACGTTAACGTTATGTGCGCACGCACTCACCTCATGCTGAAATAAACAACAATAAACTGTAAAGTTAACATAAGGTGTAACTTATTAGTAACTATTAGTAACGTTATATGTTTACTGTATGTTTTATGGAGCTGGATGTTTAGCCGTAACGTTAAGTGAACTACGTTTAGTTCAGAGTTGACATTGTTAACGTCAGCTACCTTGAAAAATGTCTTATATAACGTTACTCTGTATGCGTTTAACAAACGTTAATTCATCTGAACATCATTTTCAAATATATAACTAGCTGTATATTCACTTTAAATACCTTCATTTCAGTTCACCCTTCATAGTGTTGTGTCTGTGTATTTCAAATGCTGCTGTTTAGCTGAGGTTAACATCTGTCCAAAGTGAGTTTAGAGGTAACTGGTTTTAAAGTCATGTTTATTTGTATAACCATATATTATTATAATTAACATAACGTTACTTATAATCCTCTCTTCCGACATATTTTAAAAAATGCATGCTGTTTGGAGGCGTGGCTTCCTAAGTGAGTGTGTGCGGAGGTCTGAGGAGACCAGAGGGAAATTTGTTGGAAAATCACCTTTATTGACATCATGTGCCAACAAGAATAAATGTGATTATGTGCACAGAGAAAAGAAAGTGTAGTTCCTCTTTGAGTACTGGTTTGATCCTGTTCTCACTGACACCATCCCACTGGCTTATGCAGGCTTGTCTAAACACAGTGCAGTCAAAAACTTTTTTTAATTGATTTCAATGATGTAATTATTCTGAACCAATACTTAACTTATCATGACAGTGTATATCCTGTGAAGTCATTTTCCTGTTTGACTACTCTTTGAGCTACTGTTTGGCTTTGAAGGGCGAAGTAGGCATCATCCAGTTTCTGTCTGTTTTGTCACCTTGTCTCATGACACACCCTTATTTTAACTGATCCTCTCTTAACAGTGAGCCGCTGTCTAAAGACTGCATAATATCAGACACAGTATTCTTCAGTGATGGCCTAACTCAACATTTGTGGGTGGGGGGAGTTGTTAAGACAGGTCTTATTGAGCATTTAACTATATTTATTTATATTGAATCCTGATACATGCTGCTCTTAAGCCTTTGAATATATATTCAAAGAGACATTATAAGGTGACGTTTACATGCATTTCCTGGCTAACAGCAATGTTTGAAATGTGTTGCAATTGCTTCAAACCTCATACTCATGAAGATTTGTCTTCCTTTAACAGGTAAGCATGGCGCTGTCTTTGTCCTCTCCGTCTGCATGCCCCTACGACGAGGATGAGGAAATAGCTGTGTTTGAGTCTACGGCAGCAGAGCATGGAGGCTTTACCAGACCCCGTCTACCTGAGATCTCTGTAATTTCCCCTGGCCTTGACCCCCGGCCATCCATTACACAACCGGTGAGAGTCGACAGGACCGTGCCATTTTTGTGTTGCATTGTACCCTGTGAAGTTTGGATTGTAAACAAATGAGCTTTTGTTTATCCCTAAGGTGTAACAGAACATGTTTAATGTATTTAGTAACCCAGAAGACATTTGCAATTACCTTTGTCATGATTTAAATTATTCTGTGTAAGCAACAAAACATTAAATATGTTTTTAATTTGTGTCTCTAGAAACTAGCAGTGAAACCTGCAGTGGCGACACAAGGAAGCTGCGATGAAGGCAACACAGATAGGGTGAAGGTTTTTCTGCGCATCCGGCCACTTACTGAGACTGAGAGAGAGCGGGGAGAGGAACAGGTAAGACTGGAGTCGACATTACAGCCATTGGCATTTTCTGTGGGTAGATATGTGTATTTATTGCTTTTCGTACAATTGTACTCTGTGCTCAAGGTCTATTATTCTTTTAGGGTTGTGTGGCTGTCCAAGATGAAGAGACTCTGCTGCTCAAAGCTCCAAAAGAGTCTCAGAACATGAGGACCGCAGAGAGGGGCATCACCCAGAGCATGCACAAGTTCAGTTTCTCCAAGGTAGGAGAGTTACACTTCTGCATATATAATTAGTTTTTTGTAAACTGTTGGTAAATATGGGCTAATGGGTGTGCAAAGCAACCAATACTAGTAATTACCAAGGAAGATGTTGAGGTTAAAAACCTCCCATACTGATGGTTTTTCTTTACCCATCTTTCATAGATTTTTGGGTCAGAGACAACACAGCAACAGTTCTATGAGTGCACGATGAAGAAGATGGTGAAAGACGTGCTTCAAGGAGAAAACCGACTCCTCTACACTTATGGTGTCACCAATTCTGGAAAGACTTACACTATTCAGGGTACGATTTTTGTTTGTTTCTTGGACAAATCTTTATGAAGCCCAGGTTCGGATGTTGGTGTTTGCAGTTCCATAAATCTTAAACTTTGACCCGCAGGCAGTGGTCGAGAGGCAGGACTCCTACCCCGGGCTTTAGTGTCTCTGTTCAGGAAACTGCAGGGTCGTCTCTATGGTGCAATGGACCTGAAGCCTGTCATGTATCAGGATGTGAGGCAGCTTGAGCCCAGAGAGGTCAGGGTGGAGGAAATCCGTAGAAACTCTCTGCTTAAAGAGGTAAACAGAAGAACAACTTTTAAAGGTCTTATGAAATGAAAATTTTAATTTTCTTGTCACATTGTGTCCCAGTGTCTATTGCTGCCAAGTATATGCCAGTAATGTACAACTCGTCTTTCAAATAGCCTGTAGCTGAGCTCAGTTTTGATTAGCCTGAAAAATATAAGTTACACATCAGACAAACAAATTTCAAAGACATTTCATGGGACCATTTAATCAAAAGTCTTGAGTAGGAATAAAGTATCTTCAAGCACACAGATATGAGCTGATGCACTCCTCTTGTTTGTTACAGGATGAGAATCAGATGTCCCGTCGAGGTGGGACCACTACAATCTGGGACAGTGGAATTGGAGGACTCTCCTCGACAAGTAACATTGCTACCCAGCTTGAAGGTGAGGAGGATAGTAGGAGTGTTATTGGACAGCAGTGTATTCCAAATGAAGTCGAATCTGGCCAAATATTAAATTTAAAATACGCTCCAAATATTCAACTTTGTCCCTCCGCAGACACTGATAGTGTTTGTCTGGAGCCTGACAGCCTTTCACACAGTGGAGGAGATGATCTGGAGGAAGGGGTGCAGTTTTCTATCTGGGTGTCCTTCTATGAGATCTACAATGAGTTTCTGTATGACCTACTGGATGCTTCGCCCTCCCTGCAGCCCAGAAAAAGGGCCACACTGCGGCTTAGTGACGACAAACAGGGCAACCCCTATGTGAAAGGTAATGATTACTGATTAACAGAAATAATGTTTATAGAACATTAAACGGGTTAATTAGCATAGTGTATGTATTAGTTTGAACCTCTTGAAGCTCTTACCCAGAATACAGATTCTCTCATCTGATGTGTATTACACATCATTAAGCAGGAAATGATGTTTCAAACTTTACCTGCAGTCTTTTTACACTTTATTCAGGTGCAGCACCACATTATAAGAAACAATAAATCAGTGCAATAGATGATGAAAATACTTTCAACAATGTTTGCTTTGTTTAGCTTTGTTATGTCATCTGTACGGTAGCACATAGAACATGTTTCGTTGTTCTTGTGTTGCAAGAGTATAATTTTTTTGTTACTTCCTCTTGTTGTCAGACCTCACCTGGATCCAGGTCCGCAGTGCTGAGGAAGCCTGGAGGATTCTGAGGGCTGGACGTCGTAACCAGAGCTTCGCCAGCACTCACCTCAACCAGAACTCTAGCCGCAGGTAGGAGCACATGAAACCTTTGCCTTTCAAAACCTTATTTAGAATTTTCTTCTTCTTTTATTGTTTGACCCACACTTATTGTATCTCTGATCACACATTTATCACCCACACAGCCACAGCATTTTCTCCATCCGTGTCCTTCACGTTCGCCCAGAGGCAGATTCAGCCCAGGCCATGCATATCAGCGAGTAAGTTGACCTATTGCTACCCATTCTAAATTTCAGTTTGGGGATATTATAGATTTTTTTTTTGTAAAAGTGTGCTTTCCTTTTTAGACTGACTGTGTGTGATCTGGCTGGGTCTGAACGCTGCAAAGAGCAGCGTAATGGTGAGAGGATGAAGGAGGCCAACAACATCAACACCTCCCTTTTGACACTGGGACGCTGTATTGCTGCTCTGAGGCACAACCAGAACAACAAGTACGTGTCCACTGGTGGTAGTAGTGGTGCAGTACATTATAAAAATGGAAATAACTTAAGAAAGTAAGGGGACCTTTAGATCAAGAATTAACTTTAATGCTCGGCTCCTCTGTGGAGGATTTTCCTGTTAACTTCTGCAATAATTATAATATTGTTCCATATTAAACCTTTGTTGATATAGCACATGTAATTTCACAGGCAATATGTATGTTTTCTTATTAAAAGATACTGGAATGTGCTGTTTAAGAAAGCTATATTTAAAAAAATTTCTGATACGTCCACAGGTCACGACCCCCTCAAGTGGTGCCCTTCAGGGACAGTAAACTGACCCGAGTCCTCCAAGGTTTCTTCTGTGGCCGGGGAAACTCCAGCATGGTGGTCAACATCAATCCATGTGCCTCCATTTATGACGAGACCCTCCAAGCCCTCAAGTTCTCAGCTATCGCTACTCAAGTAAGTAAAATAGCTCTCATACCGTCCATCCAACTTCTGTGATTCAGTGATGAGATCAAAGAGAAATAAAATAACCCTCCCATTATTACAGTTGGTCCATGGCCCGTCCACAAAGACCAGAGTGGCCTATATCCTGTCCCTACTGCGTGAGCCAACAGCAAATGGTAATGATAGCACGGTGCTGGAAGAAGAGGAGGATGAGAGTGACGTTGAAGACGGCGATATGACCATGTTAAATACTGAGGTAACATCCTCTGCCATCATATGAGAGAGATAAATATTTACTGTACTTTCATAACCCATTTTCAGTTAAAGGTTATCCAGCGAGTGGGCAGAAAGCTTTTTCGTTTGTTTGTTTGTTTCTTACCAGCATTTCAAATGTCTCAAAACACTTGTTTAGTGGTCCTAACAGTGGACTGTACTTTATTAAGGCATTGCTACAGGCCATTGATGTCCTGAAGAGAGAGGTGCAGCGCCAGCGGGAAGAGAAAGAGGTTCTTGAGGCAACTGTGAGAGAGCAGGTGGTCTCTGAGATGATGGAGGTCATATCTGGGATGCAAGAGGGCTTCAGGTGTGTGTGTCCGCGCTTTGTTTGGATCAAAAGATTTGATGATGCCTCTTTAATACTAACCAGGCTTAGGCTTTAGGACATGTAGTAAAATCATTTCTAGCAATATTTTAGATGTGAAACTAGTTTTAGACTAGTAAATTATTCATTTTAAGAGCACAAATCATTTCCATTCACTTAAAAAAGAAAATTTAATCAAATAAATTTCAGTCAGCAAAATAAGAAATGCTACAATCTGAAATGAATGCAGATGCTGAGTTGTTTCTTTTTGCCCTGTAGTGAGACCTTGGAGGCAGAGAGGGCTCTAATCGAAGAGAGGTACGAAGACAGGATAACTAACGTGCAAAAACATTTGAAGAAGTTCTACAGCCAGGAGCTGAAGGTGAGCGTTAGTTTGTATTACTTTCAGCCACTTTCTGCCCCCAGGCTGTTTCAGTACACGCATAATCTGTGAAATCTCCACTTTGGTTAAATGAGTTCTCTCCCCAATAAGTATGCAAGAAGAATCCAAAATGTAGTTATGTTTGTGATGCTGTTACTTTGAATCTAGGGGATGTGAGTTTTCACTAAAATGTTTTTCTTTTCATCTTGTCTTTTAGGAGCGAGATCAGGAGATTGAAGCTTTGTCTGCCGCCCTCGAAAAAAGAAAGGAAGCTGAACCGACCCCCATGTCGGTGCCACAGGGTGACTTTGAGGGGCCTCGACGTTCTCAGCGCCTCACTACTCACACAGAAGCTGGCAAGCAGCGCGCTGAGCTCGACCAGTGTCGTGCTGAGCTGCTCACCAAGTCACAAGGTGACTGAAACATTCCTCTGATTATGTGTTGATGTTAGGATACTGGTAATGGTAGCTAACTGTCTTGTCCTGGTTGCCTGTGCAGAGCTGACTAATCTGAAGATGCAGCTGGAAGTCCCAGGTTCAACTGGCACCCTCACTAGCGCTGCTGACCGCAAGCTGGAGGAGGGTCAACGGGTCAGTTAGTGCTCTATCATATGAAATACAAGAAGGTTTTTGCTGCATGTTAACATCTTCAGAAAGACTAAAATTCAGACTCTGTCTAACAGAACCTGCGCCAGCTGCGCCTGGATCTGCAGAGGCTCGGGTTGGACCTGCAGTCTGGTGAACGAGCCTGCTGTCGTAACACAGGAGGGGAACGGTTGCGCCAGGCACTAACCGCTGCAGATGAGACACTTGTCAAACAGGTACAGCCACAGACATGTTTATTTATTATGTATGTAATTTAGATTATTTTATAAACTGAGCTTTTCTATAGATAATTTTAAACTGTGCCTTAAAACATTAAAGTAAGAAAATTGTTAATACTGTACTAACAATAAATGTCATGGTGTAGGAAAGCTAATAACGTCACTGTCAAGTTAAACCTATTTATTTTGTTGGTGATTGATCATTTTTAGTTGAAAACCAGCTTCAGATTAGTAATTAAAAACAGGTTTTGCACTCTACTGCAGATGTAAAATACTGAACCAAGTCAACCCAACATGTTGCTATGTTTTCAGTTAGGGCAGTTTGACAGTAATTACATCTCTTCTAACTTTTCGATGCTGATTATGGATGCTCTAATTTTAGAGAAGCAATAATTATTAGTATTTTAAAGCAGCATCTGTGCAATTCTCAATTTAAAATACTTTCTGTTTCTCTCCCTCTACTCTCTTCTCTAACAATCTTGATGCACAGCCAGCTTTTAAACTAAATATAGGTTTCTAACATCTGCACCAGGTGATTACTGTGCAAAAGCATGAGAAGTTTCATTTTGCTTTTCTCCTTCACTCACCCTCCCACCTTCATCCCTCACTTCCCCCTCTGCGGCCTCGTCTAACCCTGTTCACTGACTTCTTCTTAGGACCAGATCCTGGTGGAGCTCCAGAATGGCCTGATGCTTGTAAAAGCTGACTTAAGGCGGAAAGCAGAGGCCCTGGCCCAGACGCAGGCCATCCAACCCCAGCTGCCCCCCTCAGGTTCTGATACCTGCATCACACCAGGTTCCTGCAAGAAGAGGGGCTGTGGGGCCGCTGCACCAAGTGACACTGAGAACCGGCCTCCGCAAAAACGGCCCTTTTTCCAGTCTCTGTTCCCAATGCGTACCCCAACGCGGAAATACAACACTCGTGCTGTTGAAGAAGCAAACATTACCCCCTACTCACGGATCTTGCGGTCCCGCCAGCAGTCGCCACCCCGCAGCCCTGCCCCCACCCCTCGTAGTCTCAGGGGGAAGTACTAAGCTCTTTGCTTCAGTGGGAGTGCGTACTTTTTGATATTATGCAAACACAGTTATATTTGCTGGTAACTTTATCGTATTTTTATATTGTTTTGTATATATTCACTTTTGCAGTGCAGTTGACTCACTGTTATCATGCCAAATACAGTTAAAACGTTCATGCCAGTATAACAGTTATGCTTTAAACAGGGTTGCAGTATACTACTAAGGGAATTAAGGGGTTAATAGTTATGGACTGTATGGTAAGAATAGTGCATGTGTGTGCGTGTGTGTGTAATTAACCTTCTCTGCCTCTGCAACTCCTCCACGTTTTTTCTCTAAGTATTTTTCCACAATAAAATCTATGAAAACATTGTTTTGAGTGGTTTAAGTACTAAAATGCATTTCATTCATGCTTCAATATTGAATTTTTTCACTGTGCTAATAACTAAATTTTTTGCACTGCAGTGTATTCATGTACAACATGAGACAAAAATAGAAGAACAGTCCTTGCACAGCAGGTATGCTTTATTTAAACTATTTACATATATACAGTATTGAGGCACGACTCGTGAATACAAGTCAAAACATGTTTGTGTGCTCTTTGCTCTACAAAGTGTGTGTATATATGTAAATAGTTCAAGGTGTCCCTTCTTTGCATGAGCAGCGTCTGTGCTCGGAAGAATCTTTTCTACGCTGTTAACCAGACACTGAGTTATACAAAAGCTGCATGTGTATTTGGAAAATCTATTCAAAAACTTTATTCGGTTTGCTGCAGTGTGTAAATCAAGCTAGCTGTACTCATTTATTGCAGGGTTGATAGTTTGTACATTTGCAGCATAGAACTTGTCTGATCCTGGACAAAAGGATTGCGATTTTTTTACAAACAAATGCAATTTTAATGTCATTAACAAATTCAACAAGTAAATCCTTCCAACACCGTCTTTTGGCAAAGTCAAACCCCCAAAGTGGTGTCACGTCACAGGATGCACAAATTGTCCATTTTAAAGCCAGTGAAGAGGATGGTAGGTGTCAGGGTGTGAAGGAGATGAGGTTCAGTGGAGACACCCTTCTTACGGGAGTGTTGTTTGAGAGCGGAGCGAACAGATCTGCTGACGGCGTCTCGATCTGATCTCTGACCTGTGAGATCTGCCTCAACAGAGCCTTTCCCTCTTCGCGAGCCTACAAGCAGAGTGACCACCAACACCAGTTAGTGTGTTGTTACTACGACTTAAGACCAGTTCCTTCCAAACATCATCAACTAGACAAGTTAAGACTTAAAATGTCCCTGAATATTGTGAAACTGCCAGTTCACACCAACAACACTAGACTTTAGTGTACCGACTCTCCGTACTTCCGTTCTAACGGCTGGATGTATTTTGTACTGTCCTAAAATATAAAATGAGTGAGAAACTACTGAGAGTGAGTTGTTATAGTTGCAATAATTTGGAGCTGTCCTCAGGTACATGGGTTGTTTGTGTCAAACAAAGTGATGAGGTAATCCTCTTTCTTTCCTCGGTCCAAAACCTTTTACCAGCTGACTTTACGCCTTATGTTCTAAACATTTTGACAAGTTGCGCTGCAACGTCATCAGGCAGCTTGAGTTGAGCTGAGACAGTTCACACCGCTGCAACATTTTAAAACTTTCTTCTCGTCATGAATCTTTGGTCTGAACTGGGCTTCACACTTCTCTACAGCAACTAGAACATGGTGCTCGGATTATGCAGGCACACTTACATCATTGTAGTCGCAACAGCGCTGGGCGCAGAGGGACGCCTCGTCGTAGAGCTTGTTCTTGAAATAGTACTGACCCAGGTACCGTAGGGCTGTGCTCACCTCTGCATGCTCCAGTTGTTCCTGTGATGACAGGATTTTATTAGAAATGGATTTCTTCTGAACAAATGCAACACATGGCTCAGTTGTATGCTGTTGTATTAACATTTCCCTTAATTTTAACTAACAAACTACGAATACAGACTTTATATTCAGATATGTTAAAATGCTTACCCCACAAGAGAAAATGTCTTGGATGTAAAGCATGTAACACTGGGCAGCATCATCAGACTCATTCAGCTGTTCATGGAGCCTGCCAAAGAAATAAGCAGAATTCACATTTAGTGTCTATTTCTGGGGGCTACACATAACATGTTGGCATATAACAACGGGGAAAGAAAAGCTGCAGATTGCATCTTTATTTTGCACCTAAACAGAGAAAATGTGATGTAAACTACTTTGTTTTTACATAACATGAGAAGTCGTATTTCTCGTTCTACAGTGATACTCACTTTGCCAGTTTGAGTAGAGCCATTTTCTCTACATCTCCAACAGAGTATGCCCTCCAGTAACACTAGACAGAAATAGAATCATGTCATGGTCTAAATCAGGAACCATAGTGGATTTATTACACAAACCATGAATCAGAGGGTGTTTTAATATACGTACCTTCTTCGCTTCCACTTGCTGTGACAGTTTTTCGTAGCTTTCACCCAATGCGACCAACATGCGTGAGTCATTGGGCCTACAAAAATAGATCACAGTCCATTTAGTTCATGAGCATTGTATATTTAAACACACTGTGTTTCTAAATCATTTTAATTTTTAGTAACGCCAGCATTAAACACCTTTTCTTCCCTCATACCTGAGCTGATGAGCTTTTCGATAATAGTACAAACAGTAAAAGGGCATCTTGAGGATCTCATATGTCTGACCCAGGCCATACCAGGCACGGTAGTCACGCTTGTTTACTTCAATGGCATGCCTGATGGAAAAAAAACAAGTAAATGAAACCGTAAAAACAAGGAAACAACACTTGCAACAACAATACAGGTGTGATATTTATCTTCCAAACTGCTCTTCTACATTCGGTCTGACCTGTAGGCCTGGATGGCGGCCGAAGTGTTCTTCATTTCCATGTATTCATGACCCATGAGGGTCCAGGCACCGAGGCAGCGAGGGTTCAGTTTGAGGGCGCGCTGGAAGTACAGAGCTGCCTTCTCATGCTGAGAGCGTAAACTATAATAGTTACCTGTGGATGAGACACATAACTTCTTACACAAATTCAAAATGATGTCTTAAAAACAATGTTGGACCAGCTTACAAACTTTTAAGTAGGATAGATAGAAAAATACCAGCCGATACACCTGCAAAGCTGCAACCACTCAATATTTTGTTCTATTTTGTTCTGATATGTTTTATGTATTCGTCAACTAATTGTTCAGAGAATGGAGATTAGTGTTGATCAGACTGGCTCGACACTTACCGATAACGCAGCACGTCTCTACTCTGTACTTGTCGATCTCCACCAGGTTGTGAGCCAAGTAGCTCAAATTTGGCTTCATGCCCTGTGGAAGCATTCATTTCTATCAGCCACAGAACTAAAAATTTTCTCAATATTCTGGATTTATCAATGGGTTTATTATTATTTAGACCTCTAACCTGGGGGAACAGGTCAAAACATACTTCTTTTATGCCAATAATTGTATTAAGTGTGTGGCCTCACTTTGACATAGAGCAGGTTGGAGAATGTGTCCATGTTGTCGATGCGATACGGATCCTGCTCCCTCAACTGATTGAACAGAGCCAAAGCTTGGTCGATATCTGAAATGAACAGAGTCAGTGCTTTGTAAGACTAAACCAGTGTCAGTAGCACTCTTCTGACAGGCAAAAATCTTATCGAAAAAGTAGAAAATAAACCTCTGATGTTGTGGTAGGCGACAGCAATCTGTGAGATAATGTAGGTGCTCTTAGAAAAGCCGGCCTCAATGAGGCTCTGGTATTTCTGCAACGCTTCTTTGATCATCTGCAGCTCTGTGTACATGTGGGCCATGAAGAAGTCTTTAATCCAGCAGTCTGGCAGAGACAGTGACTTCAGCTGGGGAGAAAGACCAAGGCGGATGGAATCATTTCAGGTCATATAATTACCTGAGAGGTTTCTCTGCATTGAGTGAATATAACAACGTTTTTGTTTTGTTTTCTTGTAGTTTAAAAGTCATGTGTCAGCCTTAAGATGCTGCAAGTGGTTACTGTGGACCTTAAATTAACGACACAATGCTATCTACAATTTGTGTATACGTAAACACAAAGACAGTTACCATTTCAATGTTGGTGACAAGGTTACTAAGCTCCAGCCAGGCTCCCCAGTGAAGAGGAAGTGCGTGAATTGCCTCAACAAACACCTCCACCGCCTCCTTCAGCAGATCCAGCTTTCGTAGCACCACACCATACCTGTGTTCCCACACACACACACACACACACACACACACACACACACACACACAGTTTATGATCAGTCCACTGTATTCCTTTGCATAATCTGAGGACAGTGTGTACACTTTGCAGCTAAAGTTCTTACAGGTACAGGGTGAACCCATCCAACTCTCCTGCAATATGCTTCTTACTGAGCTCCACCCTCAGTTCTCGCAAGGCTTCGTTGCGCACCTGACCCTTCTCAAGAGGACCTACAACCACAAAGAAAGGCAGTGTTAAAGGGCAACAAAAGTAATGTCAGGTCTCTTTTAAAAACGTCCAAACATACGATTCCTCACCCAGGCTGTCCACAGTCTCGTCATCCTTCTTTTTCTCACCCGACTGGAGACAAAGAAAGAAACTTTTCAAATGGTTCACAAGCATTATGATCGAGGCAGTCAAGTCACAAACTGAAATCAAGGATCAAACGATACAGGCATGCCAGATATCTACACAACCTTACCAGATAGCGAGAATACATATAGAGGAAATAAGCCTTCTGACTACAGCAGCCTTTCAGGAAGTAAGCAGCACGGTCATACTCTTTCAGGTCAAAGTAGGACTTGGCCAGTGTAAGTGCATCCAGATCTTGTGCATCTTCCTGTATTTTGGGACAGGTAGACAATGAAAAAGAAAAAAAACATTGTTGTCAACTTCACTGCTGAAAAAAAAAAAAAAGGATTAATCTCAATGAAAAACACTTAAGGGCTTTATAAAGGTAGTAATTGTACGGGCCACTTCTGAACTCGATTAACAGCCAATTTGGCCACCAGGGGGCAGTATAACATTTCCCTTACTGAGAGATGGACAAAATTGACAATACTTAATATGTAAGAATTTATGAGCTGCAACTTTGCACCTTATTGCATTTATTTCTCCCTCGAGTGAGACAGTTGGCTTTCTAACTCTGTGAAGCTCAAATGCATGTCTCTGATTGTTGTGATTGATTGTAAATGTGTCAAAGAATATGTATTGTGATATATATTGGGGTTTTTTTTTTACCGTCATAAACTCCACAAAAAGACCACAACTAACCCTAAATGAATCATGCGTAGCCGATTCCTTTATTACAAAGAACATGGGCACTGTAGTTTATTCTTAGGATATCCCACACAATCAGTGTGTGAGTG